GAAAGAGTTGACAGTCACATGAGCCAGGGCAGTAGCTGCGGAGGTGACGGGACGTGTTTGGAACATGAAGGACATTATGTACACCACCCAGCGATCTGAACTTTACCCTCTGGAACAAGGGAGCCCTGAGGGACTTAAGGGAGCAGCAGCAATGTCCAATTTGTTTTTGTAGGAAGATGACTTTTTAGATTGGTCAAGAAGGGGTCAAAATCGGATAAAAGGCTGATGTAGTGAGGTAAGGTAAGGATCTGCTGGCAGAGGTGAGCCCACTGTGGTCCATGGGCCAAAGCTGGCCTGCATCCTGTTTTTGCACAACCCATAGGCAAGAATGGTTTTTCATTTCTAAGGGCTTTTTTTAAAAAAAGGAAACAGCAGCAACATATGTGACAGAGACCATATGGACCTCAAAGCCTAAAATATTTACTATCTGGCCCTTTACAGGGAAAGTTTGCCCATCCCTGGTTTGAACCATCTGCAGTCTTACAAAAAAAAAAAAAAAATTATAAAAGAAAAAAGAATGAGGAAGCTCTTCATGTACTTATATGGGATGATCTTCCCTACATGTTGTTCAGTAAAAAAGGCAAAATGCCAAATTATATCCAGGATGCTATATTTAAGTACTTAAAAAAAGGAGAGTAAGTGGCATACATGTATTCATCTGGGCTGATACTGAAAGAACTGATCATGCCAATATCCTCCAGAACAGAGGCCTGGACAATGGGAGTCTAGGGCGCAGGGAGGCTTTGTGGTATGTGTGCTTCTACAGCTTTGGGATTCTAAATCAGGGAACTGATTAAAAACCTATTTAAGGGACCAGCAGTTAGCATGACGGCTATGGTACTGAACTCCGATGTAGCTGACCGTGGTTCAAATCCCGGACCCAGTGGCTTAAACTCACGCTGGGCGCATGTGTGTGCGTGCCCAAGATCCTGAGAGGAGAATGGAGGAAAAGGGATTGCGGCGTGGCCATCCCCCTGGGGGAGTTATTTCTTGCTTTCTGTCTCTCTGTTTCACTCTGTCTTTCTGGTGAGTACATGTGCCCTATAACAAAAACCTCTCCAAAAAAAAAAAAATCCCATTTAAAAACTTGCAGTCACGGGACCAGCAGTTAGCATAATGGCTATGTCGCTGGACTCCCACGTAGTCGACCACGGTTCGAGTCCTGGACCTGGTGGCTTAAACTCACGCCAGGTGTGTGTGGGTGTGTGCCCAAGATCCCAAGCGGAGAACGGAGGAGAAGGGATTGCGGCGTGGCCATTGCCCCTGGGGGGTGATTTCTCACTTTCTATCTCTCTGTCTCTCTCTGTCTGGCAAGCGCACGCGCCCTATAGCGAAAACCTCTCAAAAAAAAAAAA